GGACCCACAGAGTGCTGATATGCGTCCCTCCATCCAGCTCTGGCTCCGCCACACCACCATCCCCATTGTTAAGGACTTCTACCAGGGTCGGCTTCTCTCTCTTCCTGGAAGGAGGTGTGTTTTTAATGATGTATCTATTCTGCCACCTAGCCTTCGAGGACATCACTACAGCAAAGCTGCTTTAAGCTGCTCTTGTGCAGATCTCAGTCTCACTGGACTTCCCTTATCTAGGGAGGAATCTGAGCGACTGAGTGCTTTCTTTCTTGAAGGTCACCATACCTTAGTTTGGTACCAGGAGATGAGGCAGCATTAGTATGCCCAGTTGTGCTGGCCTCTGAAAAAGGGACTGAAGTCAATGCCATGAGGTCTGTAAAATGGGATAAATGATATAAATAAGCCTGTCTGAGAACAGATGAGAACAACACATAGAAGAGAATGAACACAAGATTTTTTGCTGATTTCTTCATTTCCAACCAGAAGAAAATATAATACTGTGTGTTCTATTAAAAAGTTGAGAACAGATGAGAACAACACATAGAAGAGAATGAACACAAGATTTTTTGCTGATTTCTTCCTTTCCAACCAGAAGAAAATATAATACTGTGTGTTCTATTAAAAAGCCTAGTGTTCCCAAACTACGTTATCAGGCAACATTCTTGCTCTGAAAATCACTTAGAAATTCACAGAAAATGAAGCTTTATAAAATAAAAACAATATCCACCCTTTGAAAAGCTGTCCAGATAAAAAGAGGGCAAATCTTTCACTCAGTGCATTTCTTGAAGCTTGGTTTGGATATGCAGTTAATTTCTTAAAGGGAAAGGAGAGGAGTCATCTCTGTGGAAACGACACAAATGGATGATATTTAACTCCCCACTTCTCCAAAAAATGATGTGGTTGAAAGGTATCAAAGCTCATCTATGCCAGAGTAGGGAAGCTCGTGACAGTGAAAGCAGGTCAGCAGCAAAGGAGGCTTCTGGGAAGGAAACCTGGCCTCCGACATTTGTATCTGGCAAAAATAAATGAGCCCCTTCCAACTAACCTCGTTGATGCAAACTAGTTTTTTTTTCCCAGAAGCAATCTTCTAAAGGTGATTGTGAACAGATCTAAGCTTTCAGAATGGAGGGGAGGGTGAAACAGAATTGAGAAAGGCTCATTGGCACCCCCCCAACCCAACATCCTGTGGTAATGCCTTCCCACACCACCGTTTTGCATTAATTATGAACTCTCAGAAGCAAAACCATCCAGCCAGTCCTCCATCTTTGGACAAAATCACTCTGGACAATCTCAGGCTACTGAGAATTCTTTATTCTCTCATGCCCTCCAAGGAGGCCTATCCCAGGGGCCCTTAGACAACAGCCCCTGTCCCTAAATCCCTCATGACACAAATCCATTTCTAAGAGGACACAAAGATGGGTTGTTTAACATTCACGGCCTTGCAGAGAAGCCTTCCTCCACGGCCCCCTCTACAGCCCTATCCCAAGGACCAGCTCCCACCATGTTCTCTTCCTTCTTTCTCTCTACCCTTTCCATCTTCTCCATAAATCATCCCCTCTTCCTTTTACCTGTCCTCACACATTGTATTTTCCAGCCACTGGAAGCCAGCTAGACAAAAGGAGGTGTCACTGGAGGCCATCTTTCTTGGAATACAGGGGGCTGGAACTAGGCAACTCGTGTTTCTTTGGAAGTAGCACCACAATTCTCCATTCATCTTCAGTGCTACCAGTGAGCCTGGAGAGGGCTGAACTTCTAAGGTGGTGCCGAAATAGAAGCAGGGACCAGAACACACTTTTCTTGAAGAAATAACACATGATCTCTTTCGCTTCTAAAATATTTCAACCAAATTTTTGTATATTAATTTGCCCCTACCCAGACAGAAGGGAGAAGCAATTTGGAATGAGCCTTGCTGCTTTTTCTTTAAAATTGTTATATATACAGCTTCTCCCCGCTCTCCCAGCCAACACCTAAAACCCCTTTGGCAGTACCAGCAAAAGCACAACTTAAAACTTTTGCTTTGTTTTAAAATGTGCCTTTGGGCAAGCAGATAAGTGAGAAGAGAGATCAGGATTTGGGGGTGTTAACAGCACAAAGCAAGCTGCTTTTGAACAGAACGAGCAAAAGAAAGATTTTCTTGAAAGCAGTCCTCCAGAAAGAATTCTTATCAAAGATAAGGGTGCAGTCTAGTGGTAAACTTCATGAAATGCAGCCCCTTCTTCAAAGGAAAGTTAGAGCACTTCTCAAGGGAGGCAGAGAAATGTTAAAGGCATGACAGTTCCGCTGCAAGTGCTCCCCAAAGGGGCAGTGACAACTGGTCATTTCTCTTTGACCTGCCTGTGAAGTCCATCTCAAGGGAGGCAGAGAAATGTTAAAGGCATGACAGTTCCGCTGCAAGTGCTCCCCAAAGGAGCAGTGACAACTGGTCATTTCTCTCTGACCTGCCTGTGAAGTCCGTAGCCCACCATGTCAATTTCAGAAAAAGCTAAAATCGCCACCGTCCTCCTTTCAAGGTTTTAGTGTTCTTTCTTTTTACTAAGGAAAGAAGGGGTATGTAGTGTCCAAATAAACCGTCTGTGGTTTCGAGTGGCATAAGGTTCCTGGTCAGGATCTCTTCAGACCAGGTCCTGTGGCCCCGTCAGCTCAGATTCCTGGGATGTGCTTGGGGGCACCAGTTAACCTTATAACGAGGTCTCCCTCTGGGCCCTGCCCAATAGAAATGCCCCCTTAAAACAACATGGAGGTTAAGTATCAATTCAATTACTTTCCTTCCATCTAAAACCTCCCACACAAGCACACTTTAGGTCTCCAGGCAAGGTTTTCAGACTTCGCATTTCCTCCAAAGTGTCAGCCTCTGCAACTCACTGCTCTCAACAATGCTGTTGTACAACTGTCCTTTCCTGCACATACCAAACACACAATCACACAAAGCCTCCCTGGCCAATGATGTAGCTGAAGCAAGTGGCCACTTCTTGACCATATGACCAAAGACAGTCACCCACCAGCAACAGAAACACCCTTGATTAAATCCCTTTCCCCAGATTTTGAAAGGGAGAATCCAGGTTTTCTTTCTTTTTAATTCAGCTCACCACCCATCACTGGCCATCTCACACTACCCATGCCCCAAACACATACACACACACACACACACACACCTTACATGCTAGCTTAGACAGTCACTAGCAGACCGCTGTTTTCCAAAGCTTGGGAAGAATTTCTTGGGCAAGGTATAGATCCAGTTGGCTAATAAGAAATGCTTCTCTCCCTCCAGCCTGTGCCTTGGCTAGTTAGGAGATAGGAGGGAGGGGGAGACCGAGTTAACCCTCTTCATTGTGTTCACCCTGCTCCGAAGAACTCTCTCTTGCACCGGCCCCTCCACCTTCTCTCCCTCTCCGGAGCCCAGCCTGTCCCCCAAGCCCCTTTCTTACATTCCGCGGGGAGGAGGGCGCTGTTCAAGGAGCGAAGGGGAGCCCCGTGTGTCTAGAAGGCCTCTCCCCACCCCCACCCCGTGTGAGTTTGCACTGCAAAGCTCCTTGGCATCCTTGCCTGGGCTGGGTGTTGGGAGCTCGAATTGCAGCTACAAACTGGCTGGCAGCCAGGGGCCGTCTATTTAAAAGCGCCTGCTCGACCGGAGCCCGTAGTCTCTTTGGAAACTTCTGCCGGGGAAAAGAGCTAGGAAAGAGCTGCAAAGCGCTATAGGCTTTTTCCTTTTTTTTTTTTTTTTTTTCCTTTTGTTGTTGTTCNCCCCAAAGGGGCAGTGACAACTGGTCATTTCTCTTTGACCTGCCTGTGAAGTCCATAGCCCACCATGTCAATTTCAGAAAAAGCTAAAATCGCCACCGTCCTCCTTTCAAGGTTTTAGTGTTCTTTCTTTTTACTAAGGAAAGAAGGGGTATGTAGTGTCCAAATAAACCGTCTGTGGTTTCGAGTGGCATAAGGTTCCTGGTCAGGATCTCTTCAGACCAGGTCCTGTGGCCCCCTCAGCTCAGATTCCTGGGATGTGCTTGGGGGCACCAGTTAACCTTATAACGAGGTCTCCCTCTGGGCCCTGCCCAATAGAAATGCCCCCTTAAAACAACATGGAGGTTAAGTATCAATTCAATTACTTTCCTTCCATCTAAAACCTCCCACACAAGCACACTTTAGGTCTCCAGGCAAGGTTTTCAGACTTCGCATTTCCTCCAAAGTGTCAGCCTCTGCAACTCACTGCTCTCAACAATGCTGTTGTACAACTGTCCTTTCCTGCACATACCAAACACACAATCACACAAAGCCTCCCTGGCCAATGATGTAGCTGAAGCAAGTGGCCACTTCTTGACCATATGACCAAAGACAGTCACCCACCAGCAACAGAAACACCCTTGATTAAATCCCTTTCCCCAGATTTTGAAAGGGAGAATCCAGGTTTTCTTTCTTTTTAATTCAGCTCACCACCCATCACTGGCCATCTCACACTACCCATGCCCCAAACACATACACACACACACACACACACACCTTACATGCTAGCTTAGACAGTCACTAGCAGACCGCTGTTTTCCAAAGCTTGGGAAGAATTTCTTGGGCAAGGTATAGATCCAGTTGGCTAATAAGAAATGCTTCTCTCCCTCCAGCCTGTGCCTTGGCTAGTTAGGAGATAGGAGGGAGGGGGAGACCGAGTTAACCCTCTTCATTGTGTTCACCCTGCTCCGAAGAACTCTCTCTTGCACCGGCCCCTCCACCTTCTCTCCCTCTCCGGAGCCCAGCCTGTCCCCCAAGCCCCTTTCTTACATTCCGCGGGGAGGAGGGCGCTGTTCAAGGAGCGAAGGGGAGCCCCGTGTGTCTAGAAGGCCTCTCCCCACCCCCACCCCGTGTGAGTTTGCACTGCAAAGCTCCTTGGCATCCTTGCCTGGGCTGGGTGTTGGGAGCTCGAATTGCAGCTACAAACTGGCTGGCAGCCAGGGGCCGTCTATTTAAAAGCGCCTGCTCGACCGGAGCCCGTAGTCTCTTTGGAAACTTCTGCCGGGGAAAAGAGCTAGGAAAGAGCTGCAAAGCGCTATAGGCTTTTTCCTTTTTTTTTTTTTTTTTTCCTTTTGTTGTTGTTCCTTTTAATTACCCCCTCCTCCTTTTGCACCCTTCTCCGGACTTCACGCAGAACCTGCGAATTTCGAAGAGGTGGTGGCAGAGTGAGAGAAAAGAGGTGTCAGGGTTTGGGTTTTTTTCTTTTTTCTTTTTTTTTTTTCCGATTTCAACACTTTCTCCCACCCTCTCGGCTGCAGCCAACTCCTCTTACCTGTTCGGCGGCAGTCGCGCGCCGCTGGCAGCGGAGGGTTAGAAAGGAGAGGGGTGTATTTTAGATTTTAAGCAAAATTTTGAAAGACAAACCCATCTTTCTCCCCCACCCCCTTCTCCATAGCCTCTGAGCTCTCGGTGGTTGGTTTGGGGGTGAGCAATTTTGTGGCTTTTTCACCCTACAATCCTGACCAGAGCGGACTTGGGGGTTCCTCCGGTCTCCGCTGACTCTGCGTGCACCTGGCGCTACCCGCTTCCCCCCCAACCTGTTGCAAGTCTTTAATCCTTGCGATTGGGACTTGCTTGCAGGCACCCCAGTCCTCCATCTCTCACTACATTTTGCAAGTGTCTGGAGGAGGGCACCTGCTCTACCTGCCAGAGATTTAAAAAAAAAAAAAAACTCCCTGCTCCCTCTTGGCCCCTTTCTCCCTGCTCTGTCGCTTTCCTGCCCCGCCCCGAGGTAAAAGGGGAGACTCGGAGAAGATGGTGCTCACCGCGGTCCTCCTGCTGCTCGCCGCCTGTGCGGGGCCGGCCCAGAGCCTGGGCTCCTTCGTGCACTGCGAGCCCTGCGACGAGAAAGCCCTCTCCATGTGCCCCCCCAGCCCCCTGGGCTGCGAGCTGGTCAAGGAGCCGGGCTGCGGTTGCTGCATGACTTGCGCCCTGGCCGAGGGGCAGTCGTGCGGTGTCTACACTGAGCGCTGCGCCCAGGGGCTGCGCTGCCTCCCCCGGCAGGACGAGGAGAAGCCGCTGCACGCCCTGCTGCACGGCCGCGGGGTTTGCCTCAACGAGAAGAGCTACCGCGAGCAAGTCAAGATCGGTGAGCGCGCTCGGTGTGCCAGGCACTTCCACGGCGCACGGGCGGGGGACACGGGGCGGGCCGGGCCGGCGCGCTTGGGGCAGCAAGTGGCTTAGAGACCGGGGAGGGTCTCTGCCCCTCGGAATTGGAGCCCTGGCCGATCTTGCTCCCCTGGGCTGCTGTTTAGAGGAGCCTCTGCCAGATTTCGCTCCTGCTCCTTTCCCCTGCCCCCACCCAAACCTGCCCCTTCCCCACCCC